TACAGGAAAGTGGGTGCAGGAGGGAAGAGGAGCGATTGGTGGAATGATGATGTAAAGAGAGTAGTAAGGGAGAAAAAGTTAGCATATGAGAAGTTTTTACAAAGTAGAAGTGATGCAAGGAGGGAAGAGTATATGGAGAAAAAGAGAGAGGTTAAGAGAGTGGTGAAGCAATGTAAAAAGAGAGCAAATGAGAGAGTGGGTGAGATGTTATCAACAAATTTTGTTGAAAATAAGAAAAAGTTTTGGAGTTAGATTAACAAGTTAAGAAAGCCTAGAGAACAAATTGATTTGTCAGTTAAAAATAGGAGAGGAGAGTTATTAAATGGAGAGTTAGAGGTATTGGGAAGATGGAAGGAATATTTTGAGGAATTGTTAAATGTTGATGAAGATAGGGAAGCTGTGATTTCGTGTATAGGGCAAGGAGGAATAACATCTTGTAGGAGTGAGGAAGAGCCAGTTGTGAGTGTGGGGGAAGTTCGTGAGGCAGTAGGTAAAATGAAAGGGGGTAAGGCAGCCGGATTGATGGGATAAAGATAGAAATGTTAAAAGCAGGTGGGGATATAGTTTTGGAGTGGTTGGTGCAATTATTTAATAAATGTATGGAAGAGGGTAAGGTACCTAGGGATTGGCAGAGAGCATGCATAGTTCCTTTGTATAAAGGCAAAGGGGATAAAAGAGAGTGCAAAAATTATAGGGGGATAAGTCTGTTGAGTGTACCTGGTAAAGTGTATGGTAGAGTTATAATTGAAAGAATTAAGAGTAAGACGGAGAATAGGATAGCAGATGAACAAGGAGGCTTTAGGAAAGGTAGGGGGTGTGTGGACCAGGTGTTTACAGTGAAACATATAAGTGAACAGTATTTAGATAAGGCTAAAGAGGTCTTTGTGGCATTTATGGATTTGGAAAAGGCGTATGACAGGGTGGATAGGGGGGCAATGTGGCAGATGTTGCAAGTGTATGGTGTAGGAGGTAGGTTACTGAAAGCAGTGAAGAGTTTTTACGAGGATAGTGAGGCTCAAGTTAGAGTATGTAGGAAAGAGGGAAATTTTTTCCCAGTAAAAGTAGGCCTTAGACAAGGATGTGTGATGTCACCATGGTTGTTTAATATATTTATAGATGGGGTTGTAAGAGAAGTAAATGCGAGGGTCTTGGCAAGAGGCGTGGAGTTAAAAGATAAAGAATCACACACAAAGTGGGAGTTGTCACAGCTGCTCTTTGCTGATGACACTGTGCTCTTGGGAGATTCTGAAGAGAAGTTGCAGAGATTGGTGGATGAATTTGGTAGGGTGTGCAAAAGAAGAAAATTAAAAGTGAATACAGGAAAGAGTAAGGTTATGAGGATAACAAAAAGATTAGGTGATGAAAGATTGAATATCAGATTGGAGGAGAGAGTATGGAGGAGGTGAACGTATTCAGATATTTGGGAGTGGACGTGTCAGCGGATGGGTCTATGAAAGATGAGGTGAATCATAGAATTGATGAGGGAAAAAGAGTGAGTGGTGCACTTAGGAGTCTAGTGGAGACAAAGAACTTTGTCCTTGGAGGCAAAGAGGGGAATGTATGAGAGTATAGTTTTACCAACGCTCTTATATGGGTGTGAAGCGTGGGTGATGAATGTTGCAGCGAGGAGAAGGCTGGAGGCAGTGGAGATGTCATGTCTGAGGGCAATGTGTGGTGTGAATATAATGCAGAGAATTCGTAGTTTGGAAGTTAGGAGGAGGTGCGGGATTACCAAAACTGTTGTCCAGAGGGCTGAGGAAGGGTTGTTGAGGTGGTTCGGACATGTAGAGAGAATGGAGCGAAACAGAATGACTTCAAGAGTGTATCAGTCTGTAGTGGAAGGAAGGCGGGGTAGGGGTCGGCCTAGGAAGGGTTGGAGGGAGGGGGTAAAGGAGGTTTTGTGTGCGAGGGGCTTGGACTTCCAGCAGGCATGCGTGAGCGTGTTTGATAGGAGTGAATGGAGACAAATGGTTTTTAATACTTGACGTGCTGTTGGAGTGTGAGCAAAGTAACATTTATGAAGGGATTCAGGGAAACCGGCAGGCCGGACTTGAGTTCTGGAGATGGGAAGTACAGTGCCTGCACTCTGAAGGAGGGGTGTTAATGTTGCAGTTTAAAAACTGTAGTGTAAAGCACCCTTCTGGCAAGACAGTGATGGAGTGAATGATGGTGAAAGTTTTTCTTTTTCGGGCCACCCTGCCTTGGTGGGAATCGGCCGGTGTGATAATAAAAATAAAAAATAATTTTTTGTCATTATCTCCCATTTTTACTCCTTTTAAATGCTCGTCACTTATTAAGAAATAAGTATAAAGTTATTATTATTATTATTATTATTATTATTATTATTATTATTATTATTATTATTGTTGTTGTTGTTATTATTATTATTATTATTATTATTATTATTATTATCATTATTATTATTATTGTTATTATTATTATTATTATTATTATTATTATTATTATTATTATTATTATTGTTGTTATTATTATTATTATTATCATTATTATTATTATTATTGTTATTATTATTATTATTATTATTATTATTATTGTTGTTGTTGTTGTTGTTGTTGTGTTGTTGTTGTTGTTGTGTTGTTGTTGTTGTTGTTGTTGTTGTTGTTGTTATTATTATTATTATTATTATTATTATTAGTTATTATTTAATTATTATTATTATTATTATTATTATTATTATTATTATTGGGAAACGTCAAATCCGTAGAGATCATATAGCGCCTGGCTAATGGGAAGTAAACAGGGTTTAATTTAAAGAAGAAAAGAACAGCCACAATTCCATGGATCAAGAACTCTTAACCAACATCAAGGTACTCCCCTTGAACTATGCAAGAATTAAAGATTTGGCAAAAACGTTTATTGATAAAACAGAAAAGAAGGGATTCACAGGTAAGAACAGGGGTGAGGGGGAAGTGGAGATAGTTGGAGAATAGATGGGGGAGAGGAAAAGAATTGCAGAGAAAGGAAAAGAGTCGAGGCTGGAGCCAACAGCAAGGCATTATACCTAGAGAGTATACCTGGAGGTATACCTGGAAAGGGTTCCGGGGGATCAACGCCCCCGCGGCTCGGTCTGAGACCAAGCCTCACATGCAGGGCGTGTGCTGGTGCTCACCATCGTCTCTCAACCTGAGAGTGAGAATGAGTTAGGATGCAGCCAGCACGACAATCTGCTCCAGAATGAGTTTTTCGTGGACCAGAACCGAAGGGACAACTAATAAAACTAAAACGTTTATCATTGTTGTATAAGAAGGTAAACTCTGCTAAACCATGTCTATAAAGTAGGGATCACTGAACTAAAACGCAGGAGTGAACCATTTTTATCTTTCTTCACTAAGAAAGAAAGACTTTAATTTCTCAGTTTTATAAAGAGAGAACCAGATAAAGCTTTACTTTTCCTTATAATGGTGGGAAGACTCGGTTAAAACTTTATTTTTTCTCATAATGTAAAGAAAACTCAGATAAAACTCCCTTTTTATCATAATTTAGGGAAGACTCCAATAAAAACTTTTCCTGACTCTCACTAAGTAGGGAAGACTCAAGAAAAACATTCCTATCACAACACGGACGAAATTTGCATCAAATTCTCTTCACGGTGAAAAAATAAGTGAAAACCGATATAGCTGCATTTTTCCTTTAAATATTGTATTATGCATATATGTAAACAATTTTATTATATAATATAAAATAAATAAATGATGTATAGGCGTAAACGCTAGTGAAAGGACTAGGGATATATTATTGTGCTCACGAACAAGTGGTACTGATCAATAACAACACAGCGACTAGCCAAGGACTCGAACCCATGCTGCTTTGGCCTGCCTCATGGTGGGCGAAAACTCATGACGCCTTAAACCACGGGACCAAACAATCCTTAAGAGTAGCGCATCCAGCGGAACTGAATGTTGTACTCGCTACCCAAGGACATATGTTGGTGTGGTGATGTATGTCCTTGGGTAGCGAGTACAACATTCAGTTCCGCTGGATGCGCTACTCTTAAGGATTGTTTGGTCCCGTGGTTTAAGGCGTCATGAGTTTTCGCCCACCATGATGCAGGCCAAAGCAGCATGGGTTCGAGTCCTTGGCTAGTCGCTGTGTTGTTTTATTATATATATATATATATATATATATATATATATATATATATATATATATATATATATCGTGCTTATATGATAATAGTTTACTTGGAATCCTTCTTCACTGGTGGTGAACAGGTTACATGCAGCCTTAATGACTCGTGAAGTCTCTAAGTTTTAAACTCCCAAAGTCCCAAAGTGCTACTCTACTCAGGTAAGCCTCACAGGTATGGTAACACACATGTTTCAGTAAGTATACGACGTACGAAGTATACGTTGAATAAGTATACAACGTACGAAAAAGTGTTGAACGAGAGTAGTCTTGCAGACTATGTGCTGCTGGTGAAGGAAAGGTTGAGGAGGAGGCTATTGAATCTACATGTATGATGATTATTTAGTGATAGGTGAAGTAAGAGTGTTAAGTAAATAAAAGCAAACGTAACTATTAGATGGAATAAGTCAACCACACCCTGCGAGTGTTCTCAATTTTGTTAAAAAAAAAAATCTGGCCCAAGCCAAGAGAAAAGAGGAGTGTGTTCCCTAGATCTGGCTGAGAGCGAGGCTATAATGATAGACGCACCTCGTCACTCACTTGTCGACTGCCATTATTGTTTATTACCCTGTCGCTATCTCCGGCACTCTCACACGCTCCTCCTTCCTAAGTTTTTTCTTTCTTCCTCCCCTCTCCCACTTTGTTAATGTCACACTGCACCCAGAACGACGGAGGGCAGAGCGAAAATGCGTCTCGACGCTATAAAACACAGGTTCTAAGGCGTGATTATCCCAGGTTGACGCACCTCGCAGTTCATTTGTTACTCGATAAGTAAGTTGGATGCGGCGCAGGGGGGTGCCAATGACGTGCTCTCCCTAACACACTCTTCTCACTGATTTTGGTCTTGTCTTCAGCTCACCTGTCCTCCGGGACCTCATGCTGCCACTAGATATAAGTCTGTGTCCTCACACTGCCGGTGAGTGCTGCCACGTGATCGCCAAGATCTTTATTTACAAAAATAAGTTTACCTGAGGGCTCGATTTTCGTCTCCAAAAAGCGCTGCTGCTGGGATGATATGAACGCTTGTAACAGACGCCACACGAAATCCACTGGAACGGTAATATTCCGAGATTCCAGGTTGCAGCCGGCGGGACTCCCATGCCGTGGGAACCCAAAGCCTGGAACTCAGCTGGCCCTTCTAGATTCTGGAATATAGACAAGCGGACGTATCCAACGTTCCCTTAGCTGCCTGGACGCATGGAAACTTGACTTAACTAGTGTTTACCAAACGACACTGCTGAAATTAAAAAGAAGTAGGAAAAAGGTTTGAGTTCTACGCGTTCCCTGGCAAACACGGAAGTGTCCTGGGTTGAGGCATTGACCAAGTAACCACAGAAGACGCGACAAGCTGCTTACTGCCTGTGTGACATTGTTGCCCGGAGGTGTGCAGAATCCACAGGTGCACAGAGAGCGCCAGTAGAGCTGCCACACACGGGACAATGACCCTAATGACACAACAGCAGATGAGTCATCGTGCCCTGGAACCAGCCTGGGGGACAAGGCCTTATATGTACCGCTCAGGGGGAGACAGACAGCTAAAAGCACATTTGGACGAGGTACCTTGAAGGTGTCGAGTCCCTATCCCCCCCTCCCTCCCCTCCAACTACCGTCTTCTCACTCTCCCTCCTTTCCCCCATATATTCTCCCTTCTTCCTCCCATCTACCATTCCACCTACCTCCATCTACTCTCCTATCTATTCTCTCTACCATCTTTCTACTCTCCTTCCCTCCATCTACTTTCACTTCACTCCTCTATCCATCTACTTTTCCTTTACAGCTTCTCTCCTTCCCTTCAACTACTCTCTACTCTCACTCTCCCAGGTTCCTCTCATGCAGTGGAATGACTCGAGAATCATCAAAGAGATATCCATAGAAGGAAATGTCTGGAAGCCTCCCTCATTCCAGTTTTAGACACAACCATCTAAAACTACAGAAACTTAAACATTTCTCAAGTATAATCAAGAAGTCTTGAAACCTCACAACACGGCCATCATTTACTACCTGCTACATGTGTGTTAATACTCTATACAAAATATGCTGTTAAATCTCAATCAAATCAAGCACTCATTACCTGAGGTAATCAATGTCAAAACGTAGAATTTAAAATACAAAAAAAAAAAAAAAACAGAAAACAGTAATTCCCCATAAAGATATGATATCCGCATTAATACTACAAGTTAGACTGAGTGACAAGCTAATAAAGATGGTGGGAGGGGAGGGGAAAATATAGTATGAACTTAACAGTACACTAAAATCCACTCAGAGGGAGGTGCCTTGATGCTGGTGAAGGGCTCTTGGTCCAAGGTATTAAAGTTATTTTTCTACTGGATCAGACCTGATTCTCTCCTATTCGGGGTTGAGCGTTTCCAACAAGAGTATAATAGTAATAATAATAATAATAAAAATAATAATAATAATAATAATAATAATAATAATAATAACAATAATAATAATAATAATACACATAATAATAACAACAGCAATAATAATAATAATAATAATAATAATAATAATAATAATAATAATAATAATAATAATAATAATAATACACATAATAACAACAACAACAACAACAATAATAATAATAATAATAATAATAATAATAATAATAATAATAATAATAACAATATAGCGCTTGCACGAGAAAACATTTTCAGCAATGTATGTTGCATATATTTTAGTGTTAAGGAGCACAACACCTGAGTTAAATTTAAGGTGTTTTATAGGGTGCAAAAAAATGCGTAGCCGCTCTTATTAATCTCAGACGCCGAGGTGAAATTGTTGTCTGTTTGTCAGCTCTCTGCCTTTTTACGCACTTCTCGCCAGTTTTACGTGGCTCTTTATCGTGGTATAAATACCCTGGCAGTGTGCTGGTAAAGGGATTTATGCTGCGGGGGAGTTTAGAGGTCAGTGTGTCGGAGTTCAGTGTGTGTTATTCGTCCTTAGTGAGGTGTGGGGTATGGCATTGTTTTAGTGGGGGTCGTAATTTGTTTCAATGTTGCATGTGTAGACTTTCTTATGTCCTTCTTCCCTACCACTCCCACTCTCTCTTTGTCTCTCTCTACCATCCCTCTCATTCTTCCTCTTCCCTCCTGGAGGCCTGGTTTCTGATCGGGCCACGGGAGCGATGACCTCCGGAATCTACTAAAAGTAGGTAGACACCCTCCTCATCCCTCTACAATCACCATTATTCTCCCACTCTCCTTACTCCTACTCCTTTCTCTTCCCCTACCATCCTCTCTTTCACTCACTCATCTCTTTCCCCATTTATCTCTTTCCCTCACATCCTCTCTTCCTCCCACTCTTCTCTTCCTCTCCCATCCTCTCTTCCCACTCTTCTTTCTTCCCCCCCCCACTCCTCTTGTCCCCCATTTCTCTCTCCCATTCCTCTCTTCCCCACTTCTCTCTCATTTATGTCTCATTCACTTCCTACCTTTCCCTTCCCACTCCTCTCTACCTCCCTGTTTTCCCCAGTGTTTGTCATCCACCCTTTCCTCACAAGTGTCTGTGTCTACATGTAATTTCACCGTGTCCAACAGTGTTCTACCTTGCCCCCGTGTGCTACCGCCCTCTCCCCGTGTCCAACCATACATAGCCGTACCCCCGTGTCCGTCTGTTCTCCGTGTCCAAGGGCGCACACATCAATCTCAGTGAACTGTTTCTTGTCTCCTTTTTCTTACTGTTGCCAGCGCCTTTTTTTGCGTCTGTTGCTGCTAGTATTAATAAAGGCGAGGACGCGTTGATACTGACATCTTATTTTTTTAAAGGGGCTGTTACTGCGTCAGTTGTGATCTGTTGTTTCCACTGCTACTGCTGCAGCTGTTGTTGCTACTGTTGTTGTTGTTGCTACTGCTGTTTTAGTTGTTGCTATTGCTGCTGCTGCTGTTGTTGTTGCTACTGCTGCAGCTGTTGTTGGTACTGCTGCTGCTGTTGTTGCTATTGCTGCTGCTGCTGTTGTTGTTGCTACTGCTGCAGCTGTTGTTGCTACTGCTGCAGCTGTTGTTGCTACTGCTGCTTTTCTTGTTGCTATTGCTGCTGTTGTTGTTGTTGTTGCTATTGCTGTAGCTGTTGTTGTTGCTGCTGCCGCAGCTGTTGTTCCTACTACAGCTGCAGCTTGTTGTTGTTGCTACTGCTGCAGCTGTTGTTGCTACTGCTGCATCTGGTGCTGCTGCTGCTGCTGCTGTTATTGCTGCTGATGCTGTTGCTATTTCTATTGTTGCTGTTGATGATGTTGCTACTGGTTATTGCTACCATATATTACCGGAAGTGAAAATCAGTGGATATACCACTGATTTTAGCATATACGTACTAGTAAGCTTATACCACACAGGTGTATGTGCAAATTTGAGAACAGCATTCAGGCGCCCCATCAAAAAAAAAAACCTTTAAGGTTCTGAATACCATGTACAGGATATCTAAAAGCAGAGGCAAACAAGGCAGAGGCAAACAAGGCAGAGGCAAACAAGGCAGAGGCAAACAAGGCAGAGGCAAACAAGGCAGAGGCAAACAAGGCAGAGGCAAACAAGGCAGAGGCAAACAAGCAAGGCAACAGGCAAGCAAACAAGGCAGAGGCAAACAAGGCAAGGGAAACAGCAGAGGCAAACAAGGCAGATGCAAACAAGGCAGAGGCAAACAAGGCAGAGGCAAACAAGGCAGAGGCAAACAAGCGAGGAACGAGGCAGGGCAAACAGGTAAGGAAACAAGGCAGAGAAATAGGCAGAGGCCAACAAGGGAGAGGCAACAAGCAGAGACAAACAAGCAGAAGCAAAAGGCAGAAACATCAAGCAGAGGCAAAGAGGGAGAGACAAACAAGGTAGAGGTAGCAAGGCAGAGGCAATAGGCAGAGGCAATACAAGACAGAGGCAAACAGGCAGAGACAACAGGCGAAGCAAAAAGCAAAACAACAAGGACAGAAGCAACAAGCAAGGCAAATAATGGAAGCAACAGAAGTCAAACAAGGCAAGGCAAACAAGGCAGTCAAACCAAGGCAGAAGCAAAAGGCAGAGGCATAAGCAAGGCAAACAAGGCAAGGCAAACAAGGCAGGTCAAACAAGGCAGAAGCAAACAAGGCAAGCAAACAAGCAGCAAACAAGCAGAGTCAAAAGTAAGGCAAACAAGGCAGAAGAACAAGGCAGAGGCAACTGAACTGAAGCGGTAAGGACAGGTAAGCTGTAGGAAAGTAACAGATAGAACCCGAGAAGAATTTTTAGGCCATCTGAAACCGGTTAGAAAGTGGAACGGCTAGATAGGATGTGGTATGCAGAGCCATAACACAGCTTTAAGACAAAGTATGATAGGGTTCACTAGACCAGGGATATAGTAACTGTTGGAAGACGTAGTCGAGAGGCAATGCCAGGGTGCTAGGAAATCGACCGTCTCAAACCATATGAATATTATTAGTTGTACACATACACACATAGATTGGAACTCGAAGTCAAGGTTGCAAGGAAACTATGCCACACCAAGAGTTAAGCATAAGAGAGCAAGAACTAATCCTAGCACACATAAGAGGGAGAGAACATGATTACGACGCATCAACATACAGAAACAATTAACAGTGAGAGAAGTCGAACGGTTCCAGACACGAGGTCACAGCTGGAAGTAAAAACACAGATAAATCCCAGAGATGTCAGGAAATGCTTCTTTAGCATATGAGAGGTCAGCAAGTGGAACGACGTAGACAGCGAAGGGATAGAGGCAGAATTCGTACATAGCTTTAAGAAAATGTATGATAGAGCCTACCCAGAGAGTAGAGAGTGAACCCAGTAGCGGCCAGCAAGGAGGCGGGGCCAGGAACTGAGTCTAAACCCAGTTAACCATAATTAGGTGAGTACATACATACGGTTTGGCATATATGAAGATGATGATCAAATACACACAGACAGACAGACAGACAGACACAGAACAGACATAGACCACACACACACACACACACACACACACACACACACACACACACACACACACACACACACACACACACACACACACACACACACACACTAGATGGCACAATACAGAACGGTTACTCACCAATGTCAACATTCTTTCCTTAAGTGCTCTTACTACGAGGTCCTTTCTGTGTCCCCCATCACCTCTGCCCTCTTCTGAAACCCCCTGGATAGCAACAATGTGTACCCCCTCGCCCCCTGGGTAGGGACAAACTACCCTCCCCCTGTCCCCTGACATCACCTGGTACCCTGTATAACTCCCCTTGCACAGTCAAACAAGGCAGGCCAGAACTGATGCTATATTGTGTAGGAATACATCAATTATCAAGAGTTATCGCTTCAGATTAAATAAGATTTTGCTAAAATACAATTTAGAGAGCAAGTTTGCTGAAAAGGCTTGAACTTAAATGGACAACCTCTCCCTCTTCCAACCCCTTTCTCATATTGCTTCCGGTTCCTACGTCATCCCTCCTGTTCTTGCCTCTATTTACCAATCCTTTCATTTTCCCCATTCATCCTCCCTCTTCACACCTCTTCTCACTTCCTGGTAATTTCCAATCTCTGCGAGATTTCATTATTTGTATGTGACTCATCCTGTATGATGGAATATGAGAGGGAAATTTTGCTAGCTTCTGTTCCCATAGTGTGACTCTCATACAGAGTACATACTGACAGTGTTTCTACAGTGTAACTCTCATATATTGTAAGTCAGCCACATACTGAAGGTGCTTCCATATTGTACTCTTATGAGGTTACAAATGATTATTAATACTTGGACATTTTCTCAATCCATTAGACTGATAGTTGATTGCAACTATTTTATCTATTAATAGGATTGATAAAATCAATGGATGGCGAAACGTTTCCTTAATAAAGCGTCCTAGTTACTACACATGTATCTTTCTTAAATATATGTAAACTATTACATAGAGACTTAAATACTTGTTACTATCACATAGTTTTAAATACATGTAACTATCACACAGTCTTAAATACATGTAACTATGACATAGTCTTTCTAAATACTTGTAACTATCACACAGAGTCTTCCTTAACACTTGTATCATATAGAGTAGAATAGCAGCACACTGTTGATGTGTCCAATTCAGTTTTACAGTTTTTCCCTTCCAGTCCTTGTGGCCGCTGTGTCGACCACTGACACACACTCTTCAGTATTCTGTGTTTGGGAAGGACAACTCCGTGGAGCGGTAAACCCTTGTGAATCATTCAACAAAGAGAGTCACGGTATTGTGCTTTTTTTCGTTATTTAAAGTGATGGAGGCTTAATCCTCCACCACTGAGCGTGGATGAAGGAGAGCACAATACCCCTTCCTGCCCCAGTGCTTCACCTGGGCTCCTATAATGCGTATTCACTCCATTATAAAAGTGCCCAGGGGCCCTTTATGACCATACACTACTTTTATCTAGTATACAATAGCACTATTAGAGCTGAATTATTCCCGTATATTCCACAACTGCATTGTTACCACATATTCCACAACTGCATTGTTACCACATATTCCACAACTGCATTGTTACCACATATTCCACAACTGCATTGTTACCACATATTCCACAACTGTTTTCCATAATTTCGCCCAAGTTTATAAACTCGGCTTGAGTTTTGTTCTCAGTTTTCTAATTTTGATGTTTTAATCAAGTTTCTCAGACGGAATTAAATTTTTCAGAATAAAATTAATAATAATAATAATAATAATAATAATAATAATAATAATAATAATAATAATAATAATATTAATATTAATATAATTATAATTAATAAATACATTATTATTAATATAATTATCATATAAAAATTATTAGACAGACGTCATTAAGAGTGCGACCAAACATATACGTCATTAAGTCTTAACATAGACGTCATTAAGTCTGACCAGATACAGACGTCATTAAGTCTGACCAGATACAGACGTCATTAAGTCTGACCAGATACAGACGTCATTAAGTCTGACCAGATACAGCCGTCATTAAGTCTGACCAGAACAGGCGTCATTAAGTCTGACCAGATACAGACGTCATTAAGTCTGACCAGATACAGACGTCATTAAGTCTGACCAGATACAGACGTCATTAAGTCTGACCAGACACAGGCGTCATTAAGTCTGACCAGATACAGACGTCATTAAGTCTGACCAGATACAGACGTCATTAAGTCTGACCAGATACAGACGTCATTAAGTCTGACCAGACACAGACGTCATTAGTCTGACCAGACACAGGCGTCATTAAATCTGACCAGACACAGACGTCATTAAGTCTGACCAGATACAGACGTCATTAAGTCTTATAGACACAGACGTCATTAAGCCTTATCAGACACAGACGTCATTAAGTCTGACCAGACACAGACGTCATTAAGTCTGACCAGACACAGGCGTCATTAAGTCTGACCAGACACAGACGTCATTAAATCTGACCAGACACAGACGTCATTAAGTCTGACCAGACACAGACGTCATTAAGTCTGACCAGACACAGACGTCATTAAATCTGACCAGACACAGACGTCATTAAGTCTGACCAGACACAGACGTCATTAGTCTGACCAGACACAGGCGTCATTAAGTCTGACCAGATACAGACGTCATTAAGTCTGACCAGATACAGACGTCATTAAGTCTGACCAGACACAGACGTCATTAGTCTGACCAGACACAGACGTCATTAAATCTGACCAGACACAGACGTCATTAAGTCTGACCAGACACAGACGTCATTAAGTCTGACCAGACACAGGAGTCATTAAGTCTGAACAGACATAGACGTCACTAACAGTCAGAACAATCAAGAATGAAAGACAGGATTTGTACCGGTCACTGTGGATGATGATATGAGATATTCACAATGCTGCCAACATTCTAGCCCAGTTGTCCCGGCAATGTCAATAATAAAACATTCTTGTTCCACACTGCTGAAGGGCTTTTGATCCAGGAAACTGGAGCTATCCTTCCCTTCCTCGCATTAAACCCCATTATCTTCCATTCTCCAGGTACTGTATGACCCGTAATGGTTCCCCAAAACGACAACAACAATAATCATAATAGTAATAATAATCATAAATAATAATAATAATAATAATAATCAATAATAATAATTTGTTTCTCTAACACTCTCTACCCTCCCTCAGCCTCAAATAACAGCTATGGTCTTGGAAATAGACACAGGCTCCATACTGGCGCAGTGTACTCGAGGACTGTCCTCATATACATGTTATATAGAGTCTTGGATGTTTCCCTTTTAAAACTGACGAAGGTTCTCCTCAAGTTTGCTACCCTGACATTCTCTCGTTATTCTTATAATTATTCTGGTATAGATTCGGTGAGGTGTTCTTACGTTGGAGACGTCCATTTGAATTATGTCTGCTGGGTGGGCTCGCACGTTTCTTTCACTAGGTTCGACCACGTTTCTTTCACTAGTTCTCTGTTCTTTCACTAGTTGCTACATGTTTCTTTCACTAGTTCTACCACGTTTTTCTGGTTCTACCAGTTTCTTTCACTAGTTTACCAGGGTTCTTCAGTTCTACATGGGAGGGTCTTTCACTAGTTCTACCATGGTGTGCACTAGGTCTACCAGGGGTGTTCTTGAGCAGTTTACCAGGTGTTTCACTAGGTTCTACCTGGGTTCTTTGCACTAGTTCTACTTTTCTTCACTAGTTCTACCAGTTTCTTCACTAGTTCTACACGTTTCTTTCGGTGATAGTTTACTGGGCGTTACTTGGA